TCCGTCTGAGTCTATCATGAATATCAAAGAGCACAAAGATGTTGCATTATTATGCTCAATGTGCCTGGAGTTTGAGCAAAAGGTCAGTGTAAACCACAAATAGCTGCACGTGGAATTGAATCTGATGATTTTCAAAGTAAGGCCTTTTCGGGGCCAATAAATAATCTTAAAATTCAAATAAATAAATAAATAAATTATCCTTAATCCTTCCAACTGGGGTCCAATTGAACCCCGGATTGTGTTTTTCATCTACCGCAAGAATCTTAGAGGCACAACAAAGTTGGGGTTTTAGGAGTTTGATTGACTATATGAGCTTGTTAGTTTTAGATGCATGGCTGTTCTAGAGAGGTAGCAGCCGATTTCCTATTGGGGTCTACTTGGATCCCATCTGAATGTTCTAATTTTCCAACATATCTACTTCTCACAACATATAGTTCTCTCTGTGTTTGTAGTGAATAATGTCAAACAGAAAAAGGCCAGCAAGACACACTGTTGCACAAGCCTTAAAAAAGTATCTTAAAGGCAGATTAAGACTCTGACCTGGAAGAATCTGACATTTCAGAGGCAGAAGATGATCTTACATCGGATCCATCTGATTACAGTGACACTGAATAATTTGAACCAGCATCTGTTGACCAAAGTGGCGACAACCAGTCTCCTGAGTGTGATAGTGATCATGGTAGGGGTAAAGGTAGAGGCCAGGGGCAAACTGGAGTGCGTGGCAGGGGCCAAACCCAAAGCATCCAGACAGCTTGTGAGGAATGTCTCTGAATCTTCTCACGATACGTAACTGGATCCAAAAAATACCTAAGTCATGTTATTATAAATGATAACTTAGTATGTTATAGGTTACTAGAATTTCTAAAAAGAAAAAAAAATCTTTTTTGTTCGGTGGTTTTTTTTTTTTTGTTCTTTAATAATACCATTGTTGGTTGTTATAATGGTTGTTGTTCTTTATATATATCATAAGTCAACAGATTTTCACAGGGGTGCAAATGGACCCTAGTTCGTAGGATTTGTATGCAAAAGATGTTGGTAGGATACAGGTTATAAGAGCCCTAATTCAACATGTGTGATGCTAAATAAATTTGATGCTGTGAGTTTTTAAAAGTCAAAAGACTTGCCTCCTAATTGTCTCTCACATTTTTAGTTTTAAAGAAATCATTGGGTTTTCTTTATAGAAACACTGCATAGACAGAATAGAGGCAAAAGCTCCCTCTTGACCGCAGGAGATTACATGTGCAGCTATGCAAAAGGTATATGCTGTGTAATAAAACAGTCACTGTTATGAAAGTGCCCATGAAGACAGGTGAGTCCATGTTACAGCTCATTCACCAGACAATACATGTAATACATGCATATTGACTAACACGACCAAATACGCAAGTGTTGCTATGCCTAGAGAAGAGAAAATGAAAAATAAGGAAATAAATGCTATCAAGCACCCAAACCATTGTCGACCACACACACAGAATCCTACTAAGGTGCCTGTTGCATCAGAAAAGTGATAGTGAACCAGAGCAATGACACTGCATTTGAAAACAGCCATAATCCTAAATGGCAGACTTTAGAATCTGATCCAAACTAGGGGGGAAGAAGTAACAAACTAGGAAGAGATACAAAGAACTTAGAACTGGTTTTCAAGCAAGGTTTAAGTAAGTATTTATGAACAGGTAATATACCTTTTTCACACCAGACATGTTGACATGTCATACCAGGGAAAACACTGGTGAGATTAATAACATAATATTTGCCTGCCTTCTGTTTGGTTGAGCTATATATAGTAGTTTCATGGTTCTGGTCTTATTCACACTGCCTCACCATCATGACCTACAGGGACAAAAATTGGAACTCAGCCAAAAATTTATTTCATTTGCGGTAATTGAAATTTTTCATGGCGTACATTTGGTCTGTTTGATCAGATTTTTTCCATTCTGAGCTAAAGTCACTATGATTGTTAACGCTCAGTTACAGTCATTGTTCTTTAACAGCCATGATAAAATCTCAGAAGGCACAGATCTCGGCTCAACTCCAGAAAGAACAGCTGCAGCTCAGAGCCACAAAATAAGTAATAAAAAAAAATAATAAAAAAAAAAAACTTTCCAAGCAGTGGTTCTCACTGGAAGCAGGACACGGTCCCATTGCATTAAGTAAGATCCTACTTAATCTCAGCCAAAACCTAATTTTAGAAAGCAGTTATCGTTGTCGTGCATCTGTTGTGAAATGTCCTCAGAAAGCCGACAACAGCAGTTCAGTTCTTGTGTAGTCGTCATGTTCTGCTACTTCAGAATGAAAACAGATTGTCACTATACAGACGATGCACAACAGTACGTTTGTTGAATTTTTCATTTCTTGAAAGTTGGAGCAGATGGAGCTTTTTCAGACTTTTTTATGCTTTCATTGGAAACAGTGGCTTGAGAAAGACAATGGGAATAAAGGACACCTATTTCACACCCAGTTTTAGCAGTTAAAACTTAGCATTAGCACCCTCCAAGGCTCTCATACGCCAATCACTACTGCTGTACTCTTTGGTTCACTATTACTTGAAACTTCAACTCTCATTTCTGAAGGGTAAGACATAAAAGTTAAAAAAAGAAAAGAAATAAAAAGCTTAACCCTATGGAATTACATTAACTGGGGTGTAAAAACAGAGCAACACACTTTAGCTCAGTTGGTGGAGACTGGGAGGCACTGCATGTCTTTCAGCTCTTAACTACTCTCACTAATTCACTTATGCACCCAGTTCCAGTTTGACATTTCAGCTTGCAGGTGTTTTCAGCAGTGCAGACGAGCTTTGAGCTCAGTCCAGGCAGTGCCTTTCAGGTATCGTCAGCAACGTCTGGCAAATAATTTTTTAGTAAGAAATGCATGTTCCAGAAAAACATAAATAAACTTGTGCTTAATTTAAATTCTAAACTCATGGAATTTAATTGAATAAATATCCTGAAATGTGATTAGAAATCCTGGTAAAAAAAAAAACAACAACAAAAAACAAACCCTCTTGAAAGCATATATAATTAAAAAGACATAAATAACATGTAGGTCTATGCACACACACACACACACACACATTCCCACGCTGTAATGCATTACAAACATGCACGCAAACACACACACATACAACTGCGCTCTTGCAACATGTACACTGTACCGTAGTTTAGGCTCTTCACGTCATTATTTATGACATTGTGGCTTTTTTCCCCCTAATTTTCTCATTTTTTAAAGATTTGTCTTTTTTTATATTGTGTGCTGTTACTGCACGGCCTTGCCAAGCGTTACTTTGCATTTCCCTGCACATGCTGTATGAGCACGTGACATATGAAAGAAACTCTTGAATCTAATTCCAGAACTTACTGGAGAATAATCACATTTTCAGGGTTTCTGCAGTATCAAGGGAATCTGCTCATAGTTGCTCTTTACACCCAGTGACACATCGCCAAGAGGAATCATTAATAGCTAACTCGGCATGCTTTAAATTATGCCAATTGGACAAAATGTAAAGAAATACACAGGTTTTGAGTTGGAACCTTCATGTAACTGACAGATTTCATGACATTATACTTCATGTTTACATGTGGGAGGACCGGTGGTCTCTATTTTGGCAGGCCACAGTGTGAGACTTCCTCTGATTCTGACAATCATACAACATTTGAATTAGGTGTTTTCCTTTAACAAGCTCAAGACTGAACTTAACTCTGAGTTTCAGTTGTTGAGCATCTCAAACTCTGCCTTTTGTCTTGATCTCTGAACTGCTTTTACACTTGGTTTTCACAGGGGTCAGAGGTAACCTGGCTAATTAAGGGTCTCCCCTCCCCTTTTGGATCACCTCATCTGAGCTTTATGTTTTCACTTTCATGGTCCAGCAGCTCTGCCTGGTACTTCTAAGCTAATTTTGCTTTGCCTGCATGGCTTTGAGTTGGGGGGGGGGCTCTTTGATAATCCACAGACAGGTTGGGGTCAAGCTGTCAAAATGTGTTTGCCCAGGAAACTGCCATCACTGTCTGGGTTCTGTTCTGTGAAAAAGATGCATTACAAGAAGAAGTTCTTCCAAATGGTGCAAGCATCATACAAATGGTTATTAGCAAGAAAAGAGTCAACTTTGCACAAAGACACGTGAAAATAGAGTTAAGTAACTTTGTGGCAGCATTTGTTTTTCATCCTAAAATCTATTTAAGTTATAGAAGCTGGAGGGTTTTTTTATTGGCTAACAAAAAAAAAAAAATGCCAGTTAGTCAAAGACACAAATTGTGCTTTCACAAGTCAACAACTAACGTCACTGTTACGACACTAAAACAACGTTTCCATCGCCAACAGCACAAACGTAACCCTCTGCTTGTTCAACATTTTGGGCGAATCATATCACATGCATATCTGTGATAACAGGCAGAAATAATGATAATATTTAAACCGTATACAGAGAAGATCCGTAAACTCAGTGGTATCAGATAAGTGTCTGATATTTGTTCAACTTTTGACAAGCGGAGATACTACAAAATTCCTGAGGGAGTGAAAACTCACATCTTTCATGCAGTGTAATGATTATATGTCACAACACATTGATCTTAATTTTCTGATGTGAATACTTCAGAGCTTTCACACCTGAATATTTCTAGAATTTGCACCTCACATCTTCACATTCTCACACTTTTAGGGTCCATTTGGTCATACCAGGACTCAAATGAATGAAAATATGTCAGTGTAGTGGAGCAAATAGGATTAAATGAGCTGAATGCCAAATGTCTGGAAACAGGAATTCTGTCAAGAGATAATCCCCCCTGTGGATTTAACACAGTCCACTCTCAAAGAAAGGTATTTGTCTCTCGGGAGCTGACACAGAATTTTCTGAAGCCAAAGTCCATAATCATGTTGAATTTGTCACTTAAATTAGTGGGAAGCCAGTTTGGAAGCAATGGAATCGAGGAGAGTATCCATCACCGTGCATCCTACAGATCATGATCAACATCACCCATACAGGTACACCACAGTGCTGCTGGGCTTACCTTCAAGACTTCCATGGACAGCTGGCTCGCAGCAGGCCGGCCGGGTGGAGGCGTGACACGGACGGCGAAGGTGCGTTGGGTGCTCTGGTGCAGAAGGTCGCCGTTCCTCTTCACGCGGTCCTCCCTGCGCTCTTGACCCTGGCGATGGGCGAACGCCGGCTGTTCTCGGAGCTGGACTTGTGACGTCATGTCCAGTCGAGGTGGGGAACTCTGGTGGCGCTTGTAGTGCCCACGTAGGTCCGGGGGAGCACTGAAGACCCCAGCCCACCCAAGGGCAAAAGAGAGGAGGGAGGAGTTAAAGGAGCGAGACTTAAAAAACACACTGGTGTGTATTTTTGCTTGGGCCAGTGGCATTTTTCTGAGCCATCCTGAGTCCGTGAGCAATATGAGGTATTGTAGCAGAGCACAATGTGATGATTGAGGGAGAGGGAAGCCAGAGATTCTTCTACTGAGAATATGTTATTGTTCTGTGAATGAGGGTGAAAGATGCATTTATGTTTCAGGGAGGTTGTGCAGTAGAAGGAATGGAGGGAATATCTACACAGCCCTGCCGAGTGATTCAAACTGCCCTCATAAAATACTGTCACGCAATATATAAAGTGTTCCTGTAGAAAATGTGCACTGTAATGCTACATCCATTCATTTTTTTATTCGTTTGGTGGCCACTTGGAGACAAAATATCCAATATTCACTTAACTTTTAGCTATTCCTCAGTCTCTAAAAACTCCTGGAGCTATGCGACTTGTCCACAATGAATTTTCTAGCTTTCTGAACAAACATTTATCTTTTTAATGTATTTTTTTTAACATTGTGATTTTTTGTTCATCAGCAGACCACGTAGTATGCTAACATTACCTGGCCCAGTTTCATTGAACCTGGTAGAGAGGTGGAGCTGGGGCAAAGAAACAACCCATAACGTTTTGCTGTGTAGCTGGATGATTTTCCTAATAATAATAATTATAACTGTGAGATTGGGCTTTACAATTGGCAGTGGCAGAGGATGAGCCATCTCAAGTGTCATTCTAGTTCTTAGCTTTTATGACAACTTGCGATCTCTTTCTTACTGGTCATATAATAGTAACAATTCATGCAGCTTTAAGTCTTAAATTTGTTTTGTTTTTACTCCAAATTACCTCGGCCTTAAAAGAAAGTATTTGTCTTACTTAACTCAGGAGTTACACCAATTGTTAATTCAGTTAATTAGCCCAATATCGACAGCCAAATCAGTTTGATAATATCATTAGGTCTAAATTGGTTTACCCTCCATTCTCTGCCAGCTCGGAGAACGAGTTAGAAGAAAGCTAATGTGGATTACGTACCACCAGACCGCCAACAACTGATATGTTGTGAGGTCTGAGGCAGCACCTTGGCTCTTTGGAAAACACGTAATCACTTCACAGATTTATTCATGTGCGATAATACTTCGAGCAAAAACTCCGTCTGTCCGCTCTGAGTTCACCCATTCAAAACTGCAGCGTATTTAAGCAGACAGCAGCTGCACATCCCAAACAGAAATGGATCTGGCAGTGCATACGCTGTCAGAATGAAGCATTCCCCGAGAAAATGATCCTTTTGATAAAACCACTTCAAATCCTCTCAGCCTGTGCAGCTGTGTGATAATCGCACTAATTAGGTTGGCATGTCAAATCTAGCCCCAGTCTACAGCTATCACTTCAACATCACTAGTAGCAGTGCTTCAGGACGAGCGGAGAAACTCAATGGTTTTTTTTTTGGTTTGTTTGTTTATTCGCCAAGGATATCTTAATAGCTCCTAGAAATGTGTGCCTTCTGATGATTTCAGCGACTGGTTTCACATTACCTTCTCCTCTATGCATTGTCTGGTTTGTGTAATATTTAGTGCTTAGCTAGTATAAATATATATAAAACTAAATCTGCAGGGTCAAAAGTACAGCAACTTTAATTATCGGTTTTGGTGGTGATGTAGAAAGCGGTGTTAATAAAGTCATAGCGACTGACTACAGCTGCTGACTCCTCTGAGCCAATTAAAATAGGGCCCATTTGACACACCTATCACACTGCACTATGGACACTACGTTGGGAAAGTCTTTCAGTGATCTGAAAAAGCAAATCAGTGATTTGAACAAGTCACTTGGAAGCATTTTAAAGCAACTACAGATTGTCTTTGCAAACAAATCCTTGTAAGTATAAAGTGCATGGTACAGTTGTGACACTGCCACGAATGGGAAGAAAACACAAGATACCAACTGCTGCTGGGTTAGGGTTAGGGTTAACCCTAACCCTGACAGTTGGCCAGGATGGTCAAGAGTCAAACAAGAACCACCAAAAAGCAGATCTGCAATGAATTAGTAGCTGAAGTGTCTGTGTCCACAGTCAAGTGTTTTTTTTTTTTACATCGCCATGGCTGGATGGAAGCCCTTCCTTTAGAAGCAGTACCTTAGAGCTCGACAGAAGTGTGGTGCTGATCACATGGACAATGAAAAGGCCTTCTGGGGGAAAGTTCTGCAGTCAGATGAAACAAAAATTACACTATTTGGCTATAATGACCAGAAATATGTTTGGTGGAGAACTTTTGAGGCCTTTAATCCCAAGAACACCAAACCTACCATAAGCATGGTGGTGGCACTATTATGCTCTGGGGCTGTTTAGCTGCCAGTGGCTTTACACAATGTATATGGAATAATAAAGAATGAGGATTACCTGCACATTCTTCATGAAAACTTAAATCATCAGTGAGCAGGTTGGGTTTTGGACACAGTTAGGTGTTCCAACAAGACAATGACCCCCCAAACACAGAATGTTTGAGAAGAAATGGCTAAATAAGGCTACATTTACGGTTTTAGACAGAGCTCACCATAGTCCTGACTTAAACTTCATCAAGAACCTTGCTTAGGTATTTTTTGACCCAGCAGATTTTGTCATATTTTCAGAAGACAGATAATAAATCGGGCTGCAAGGTGGCTCGGTGGTTAGCACCGTCGCCTTGCAGCAAGAAGGTCACCGGTTCATGTCCCGGGATCTTTTTGCGTGGCATGTTCTCCCCGTGCAGCGTGGGTTTTCTCTGGGTTCTTCGGCTTCTTCCCACAAGGTCCAAAAACATGTTGAGGTTAATTGGTGATTCTAAATTGTACGTAGGTGTGAATGTGAGTGTGCTTGGTTGTCTGTCTCTAAGTGTAGCCCTGTGATAGACTGGTGACCTGTCCAGGGTGTCCCCTGTCTTCGCCCTGAGTCAGCTGGGATAGACTCCAGCCCCCTGTGACCCTAATGAGAATAAAGTGGTGTATAGATAATGGATGAATGGATGGATAAAATAAATCTATGAACCAAAATTTTGTTACAAAGATGCACAGATTCAATGAGTCCATCATAGAAATTCAGAGTTCAAGGAGTCATTGGAAACTCATGACGGCATGGTCTTTACAAGTGTACGGAAACTTTTGTTTATTACTTACTGCCTATAACTGCAACATAAACCAAGTCTAAATACATTCAAAGTTTTAATAAAGTGGACTTGCACATTTGATAAACGCAACAATATAGAAAAATGATAAGAATGGACTTTTACTATACCAAGCAACAGTTTACTAGGTCACTACAAAGGCACGACTGATGCAGTGTCACCATTTTCTGTAATTATCATTTTTAATTCACAGTTTGTTTGTTTTTGTTTTTTTTAAATAATAAAATTTGTGTTGTTGTCTTCAAGAAAACTCTACATTTAGATTTTGCTAAATCAGGTTAATAGACTCGTCAAACTATGTCAATAATAGGTGATTTTATGTTAACAATTTTGATGCTAGTGCAGCTGACCTTGCGTCACTGGTCATGGCTGCACATCCATGACGAGGGCAATAAAGGCAAATGTTAAACTTTGACTTTTAAAATGTATGACTTATTGTAGTATTTAGTGCATGTCAGTGTAATGTGTGTAACTCTGTTAATGGGGTACCGAGGTATGAACACAACTGCTACGTCAGCAAAACATCATGTGACTATGGCTTTTGTTAGTGAATTGTTCCAAAGACTTGTTGTGAATCATCTCATACGGTCCAATACAACAGATTAAGTTTTGCATAATGTGAACTAGTGAACTCCAACTGCATACAAAACAAACCAAAACAACATACTCAAAACAACAAACAAAACAAACAATTATAGGTATTATTGTGTACACATTTAGACACTTACATTTATCAGCATTGTTCTCAATACAATGCAGTGTGTAAGTGAAGTAAATGAGCTTTTAAAACTTTGGAACAGACACACACATTGTCACAACCACTTCCTTACATAATGCTAACCCTAACCTTATAGCAAGTGTTCGCCCTTAATTTAACGCTTTACGTTATGGTGCTTTCCGTAAACATTGCCTCAGCATAGTTAAAAACACATATACAAACACATACACAAAGAAAGATAAATCCTTTTTAACAGCAACTATGCACAGATATAGTGACGACTGTCTTTTGTTCATGTGTTATTATGTTTCAGTGTAAACGGTGAAGTGTATTCATTTAGTGTAGTAACTGCCAATTTTGTGCACTTCCAGTATTGATGCATACTGTATACTTTAGAGGTTCCTTAAACCATTTCTTAAACCTGGTGTCACGATCAGGGGTGTAACTGTACAGTGGAACTAAAGATCTGTTTAAGGACCGTATACGAAAGAAGAGTGCAATGATACCAAACTTCACAAGTTACCTTTAGTGCATCCATTTTACTTATTGATAGCCCATTAGGTTAAATCACTTCAACAGAAGCTTGGAGTGAAGGGATCATTTTGTGGGGCATTTGCAGAATCACTTCATAATATTACCAAATTACATTTATTTTAAGAGAAAAATAAAAAGCCTGTCTAGAGTTTAGAAAATTCTTCAAGAAGTCAGAGAATGACATGAATATCCTGAAGCTTAAATGTGTTCTTTACGGTCTGGGATCTTTCTGTGTAGAGTTTACATGTTCTGTTCTCCCTGTGGGTTCTCCGGTTTCCTCCCACAGTCCAAAGACATGTTGAGGCTAACAGGTGATTCTAAATTGTCCGTAGGTGTTAATGTGAGTGTTTGGCTCTCTATATGGCCCTGTGATGTACTGGTGACCTGTCCAGGGTGTCCCCTGCCTTCCACTTAAATCAGCCTGGACAGGCTCCAGCCCCCCAAGACTCTACACGGGACTAAGAGGTGTATAGATAATGGATGGATGGATAATTATTT